AGCTTTACTCTATTAAAGAGAGTTCATTAGTGTAACCACAGGCAGGAAACTCGGGAACATCTGGAAGCAATGCAGGCAGGTAGTAAAATCCCACTTCCCGGGCCAGCACAGCGTTGTAACAGGCTAGCCCTCTGCTTATAGCATCAGTATCCCATATGGGTACTGAAGTCAGGACTAGAATCAGTACCCTCCCTAGGAGGCAACAGAACAGGCCCCAGCGCCCCTGTAGGAAGCTGAGATGGAGTTCTCAGCTCCGGCTTCAGCCTGAACCACATGGAACCGCTGCAAGCACTGACAGAGTGAACCAGCACATGAGAGCTCTCACTCACTTGCTCACACTCTCTCACTTTGTGAAACATACACCTGTTATAAATTTGGAAGGATTTTTGCTCAACACATACAGTGAATATATCTCTCCCAAAATATCTAAACTGGAACTCTGTATTTACAGCAAAACCCAAACAGCTAACTCTAGAAATAACACTTGAGCACCAAAAACCAAACTGCATGGGAGGTATGGAGCACTACACCAAGCTATACAAAGATCGGGGTTAAAGAGATGCTACGCTGCTGGAGTGGAACAGCGAGCGGACTGAAACCTTCAGCGCTCCGACACAACCTTACCCGACAGCCTTGAACGCAGACTCCAAAATGCTTGTTACAGTCTGGAGTGCTATTTGGAGGATGTCGCAAAGATTGCAGTTTTCAGCTTCAGCCAGAAGAGCAGCTCTCACAATCGCAGAGCACTGCAAGAGGATTATTCTGCAGGGAGTCCCTGCAGACAATGCCCTGTGGCTGTGTGTGTACGCGCCTGTTGCTGCTTTTTTTTGGGAATAACTGCAACGAGTTGGCGTCTACGTGGCAGCCTAAAGAAAACCTCTAATACTCCGATTCTCAAACTTCAGCAGCGTCAGGACCCCTCTGCCCTCAGCCTTGTTAGAACACACATCCCAGGAGATGAGGGCTCTGCAAGTATGGGGCGGGCCAGTAACGTGCATTTGTATACAGCTTCCGGGGAACGGAGATATTGCTGATTTGTGGACCACTCTTCAAATAGTAACTGTACTAAAGTCCTTTGCAGTTCCAGGAGCCCAGCCTTTTAGAACTATAGTCTCAATCATTTGTCAAATGCCTGGAAACTCAGATTTTTAGGGCACATCTACCTACCCAAAATCACCAGCAGGGGAGGTTCTTACACAGGCAAGTCAGCCCTGGAAGTCCCCAGGCCCACCGCAGACCCCACACTCACCAAGCTTTATTGGATTTCTGGACATTCCAAGCCCCCGAGGGCTCCCAGAGCTCTCTGACAGGCACCCCGGGGTGCCCAGGTGCAGTATACGGACTGCCGTTGAAGCCCCACTGCATGCACACAGGGGCAGGTGCGGGTGAATCGCACGCCACTAGCACGCAGTGTAGGTGGAGTCTGTGCGCCCTAGTGGCGCTGCACCGCCGCTCCTGGGCTTGGCCCTGGCCCGCAATGGCTTTTAAGTGAGAGTGTCTGGAGACCTCCAGCTGCTGGCAATGTGCAGCGAGTTCCAGGGAAGCGCGGGGCTGCCAAATGCAGACAGTTCTCAGAATCCGAGGGCAGCCTTCTTTACCATCTGGGGAGCTGAGGTCACGGGGGCTACTTGCCTGAGGACTCATTGTTTGGCTCCAAAGTGTCCAATTTCTGCAGAGCATCAGAGAGGAATCTCAGAGGGAAAGCCAGGGGGAGAAAAAGTTCAACAGTCACGCCCATGCTCAAGGTAGCAAGAATGTAATCCAGCGGCTTGCAAGAAAAGCAGGGTGGAGACACAGAGCAATCAATACCAATGCAAATGTCATTTTCACCCTGAGAGCAAGGGGAAAAATTTGGAGAACACTAACTCTGTTTGCATGGGTGCTTTATTTTTTGTTTGTTTCTCCCTGGTGGAGATGTTTTGTACGTGCATATCACTGGCCAGGAAGCTTATCCCTAGCTCACGTGCTTGAATGCAAACCCACCAGCCCAGTTCCTCCTGCTGCCTGGGAAGAGAGACTGGAGTTCTGATACAAAGCTTTGAGGAAACCTGGGGGGTTGGGAATTTGTCCTTACCCAGACAAGGTTTCTGGGGCACCAAGGTACCAGTCATCCTGGGTGATGGGATTGCTTTTGAAGGTCATTCACAAGTTTTCTAGCATGCTTTAGAAAGAACATAGAAGAGAGTGAAGCTATGGAGGACTGCCTTGCAGGAAGCTTTCTGCTTCATATATATCTTACAGAAAGACCTCAATGGGTATAGACCAACACTCATTTCTCTGTGCATTTCATTCAAAAAGAAAGAAAAAACTGATACTCAGAAGGTGTGATGACTGTTTTGCAGTACATGGTACCCATGGGGTCATGAGACATTCTGAACCGAGTATGCTATCAGACTGCATCGGATGAGTCCAGGTCCTGCCCAGGTGGGTGTGCAGCGTGCACTGTGAGTCACCGCTGTAACTGAGGGCTGGGAAATGCAAGTCTGGGGGCAAATGCCCTTCAGTTTCACGTGCTTTGCTCCTGCCACGTCTACACCTGTGGGCTGCACAAAGTGATCTGCTGAGACCTTGCTCAGTCACCAGCAGCAGCATCTGCAGGGAGGAGCAAGAGCTCCTGGGGGGCCCTATGTCTTACTGGGGGAGGGGCACTCAGACAGCAGGGGAGGCCAAAGACACGAGTGAGTTGTTAACTTTGTGTTTATTTGCTTTAGGCACTGCCCCGGGAAAGAGTGACTGTAGGACTTTCTTCTTACTTGCCATCAAGGGCAAATTAACTTTCCCAGTCACAATATCAGATCCAAGGGACCACAAGGGTTGATCTACAGTCTTTCCCACCTGTTCTTGTCTTCTGCTTACAACACTGAAAAAAGAAAGCACATTTTTTTTTCTCTTTTACAAAGAGGAGATAAAGCTAATATGTCCTCTACTGGGAACTGTATTTATTCTGCTAAGACACACTAACAATTTGTATAAGGAAGCAGGAGGTTGGAGGTGAGAATCTGAGGGGATGCAAGCATTAGAAGCACTAAGATTTCAATGTTCTAACACAGAAAGATCCCTATTGGACTTAAGAACAGTATCCAAGATGGTTTTCACCATTTTCTGCAGGAAAGGAAGATGCCGAATGAAAGAAAACAATCTAAAATGTCAAACTTGTGGTAAGGCTGTTTGATTGTTTTTCCATAATTCATCATTAGTTCAGCGTCCCAACATAGGAGCTGGGAGCTCTTATGCTGGGAGTAGCTATGCTAAAGAGCCACCTGACCTCAGAAGGAGAGAGATGGAACCGCACTCAACTCTGCATTCATCCATTTCCACTGGGAAATACTGACTTGTTTCCCAGTGAATTGTGAAATGTGAAAACCATGCTAACAGAGATTGCAACATGCGTTTGGATGGGAGATGACTTAAGTAGAGCATGACTGACTTTCTCCCTAATACAACCAGGATTATTATATTTAAAAAAGAATAAACACATATGTAACCCTCCAAACAAAGGATCTAATAAAGATCAGACTACCAGGAATCAAAGAAAATAAACAGAAGGCATCTCTATGAGGAATGAGACTCCCAATGAAACTTTTAAGTATACCCAGACAACAAAACCTTAGAATCCCTACTACTGACTATGCCAATAACATCCTGACCCATGTAAAGAGCAAAAATTGGAACCATTTCTCTTTCATCTCTAATTTTAAATGGTTGTGCCCTGGTGACGCTTCTTAGGGAATGGCTCTTTCTTGTTTCAATTTGCAGTTTTTTGGCGTCAATCTATTTTTGCTGTGAATTTTACCTTTTCCCACTTCCTAGTCATTTGTATCTTTCTCAATAAGTTCTTGCGGTTCATTAACTGATCATGCATAAGAGACTTTTTGATTGCTTGTAAGCACCTGAGGTTGTAAATGTCCCTTTCAACACTGTTCTTGCTACATCTCGTGGGCAATGATGTTCTTGTTTTCATTGTCATTTCTTCAGCGCCACATGGGTCAGGCAGTAACATCAATTTCTAGAAGGTTTTTGATTTTCTTTTTCATCACTAGATTTTTATGATAGTTTTCTGTTTTCCTCCCTGTTGTGGACTGTGGTCACTGGCTCTGTACTTAAGGGAATATACAATAGAAGTGTAGCAGAGACTGACAAGTCCAGATGTGGAGACAAAGTGCAGTATGTCTCTCAGCATCCAGACCAACAAGGACTCCCAGTAAAACTATTGAAAATACCCTGACAGTAGGCTGCTGGACTGTCTGACATCGCCCATGCCTACAATGTCAGGGAATCCTCCAGTAGTGGCATGATGGACTTAGGACTGTTCATGAAGGACCACCATTGTAAAACTAGAGGAAATCAATGTGGAGGGCAGGAACTTGGGGATAGGAAGAGGAAATCACACAGCCTATGGAACTGTAACATAAAACAATAAAAATAACTAACAAAAATAAATACAGGGCTACATATTTTAAAAATGGGAAATTTTACCATGTGATACAATGTGATACTTAACTATGCCTGATACTGACAGACAGAAAATTAATAATTAACATGCACTCATGATAACTGGAATCAAATACGCTTCTTTCTCTGTATTAAAACACTGGAACCGAACAAGTAGCAAAACTAAATTAGCTACTTGTTCCTGGAAATACTTGCTCCTAAAAGGTAAGACTGAGACTAACCAAAACAGCTGACTTGACAGTTTCAATCAGTTTGCTCAAGAAAAGTTTCCCCTTCTTCATCTCCATTTCCTCCCATCCAAAGCTATTATGCCATGGACTCCATCAAAACCCAGCCAGTGCTCTGGCTTGCAAAATCTAAATAACAGTCACCCATGCCAGGCCCTGGGATCTATAAAACCTTGCCCTGATTTCCTCTCTGAGACACTACCAGGACTCCGTCAATGTCGTGGGCTGCAGGAAGCCTGACCCACTGGCTTCTGGGGGTCCGCTGAGGAATATGACAGTTGATGGTGCACTCTAACCAAGGGTTTTTATATCATCGCTCACCTCAGAGGAAACGTTACCGACAAGGTGACTGGTTGGAGGCAATAGAATCACTAAGGGCTCCACACAAGACTGGGAGCCAAGTTCCACTTCCAAGAACAGCCAGAAGCAGAATTCCAAGGTTTCCTGGTTTAAAAAAGAAAGAAAGAAAAAGAAGGGTGACTCCCCACATGGCTTATGAGATCAGAAAAATCTCAAGTGTGCAAGAAATGCTAAGAAGAAACTTCATGTAGCCTTGGATGGGAAGATGACAGTGAAGATAACAGCAGAGGAGTCCCCAGGCAGGGAACAGTAGCCGGAAACCTTGAAATGCAAGTCCCTGGGATGGGTCCAAGAAGGGTAACAACTGTAGTCTTTCAATCTGACTCAAAGCCAATTTCAACACTGCTTCTTCACTTTCATTTTAAAGCTAATAAAAAGATTTCAAAATTGCTTTTCAAAAATCTTGTGGAGCAGGATAAAAATCTCATTATATCCACAATATTGGGTAACCATGCTATCCTAATTGATGTCATCTGAAGTATGATATTAAGATTTATTGGTGAGATGCCTTAAAATGATTTTCCATTTACAAACAGCAGGGTAAGGATCCTGAGCAAGCCAATCTTTTTTTTTTTTTTGCTTACACATCTGCAAAATGGGGATAATTATGTTTGTTGCACGGTAGTGTCCTCCCACTGAAATTGCCATGCTCCAGCTGTCAGAGGTCACTTTTATAACATAACTATGTCTGCTTTGTATTGGCTCTGTGATGCAGAGTAAGTTACTTAATTGCTCTGTTCCCCCATATATTAATCTCAGATCATATTTGTGGTGTACATGGCTATGAACACTAGATATGTCACCACTGTGGGATAGCCCAGTGGATAGCATGTGGCAGAATGCTCAATAAATGTTACCTGCTTCCATTTGGCTCACCTGACATCTAACTCTCAAAGTCATTCAATACTGCATTTTCTCCTACATTGTAGAAATGGAGCATTTCATAAAAGGCACAGGAGGCAATCGTTAATTATTTCAACTTTAGGCAATAACACCTTTGTAGCAAAAACATTTCTTAGGTGGGAGACCACATAAATAACTGAAATATTTAGGCAGGCAAAATTATAGTCCGACACTTTGCTTGCCCTTGCCCAGAGCATTTGGAACGAGATAGTTGAGACTATAAGAGCTCCTCCAGGATGTGGTTTGTAGCAAGTCAAAGGTGAATGGCCCAGGTCTAGTGCAACTACAGATGACCCTGGAAAGCGGAGGGCACCTCACAACTTTCTAGTTGTTCCTGTTGTGAATGCTGGGGCCCTGTTCCTCACTAGAGCCTGCGACCACACTTCTCCAGCTCCCACTGAGAAACGAACATGGAAAACAACCTTGTGTTGGCTGCATGTGTATCCAGCCTTGTCGTGATGGATCACAATATGGGCAAGATGGAGAGCTTTTCCTCCAAGAATTTCACACTCTTCTCAGATTTTCCAAAGTCAATAAAATCCAGAGTCCAGATGCTGAGAATTAAAATTAGTTTAATCAAGGAAGGCACGAAGGGAGACCCTGGACGACACATTGAAGCCATGACAATTTGTCTTGAATGCTCCATAACCAGCAATCCGACCCCTCTAGGGCAACTTCCTCCAGCACACACCTCAGTGCTGTGGAGAGTCTGCGCTGCTGACCCGTAACAGAGAACCAAACAGGCTAACGGAAGGCTACAATCCAACCCTCTTCACAAAGAAAGAGAGAGTTGTGGCAACTTGATGTTCCCAGATTGGAATTTGAACTTTGAATCTGCTTAACAATCTCCTTGTAACAGAAACTTCATTTTAAACCCATCTGGTATACAAACTCAATGGTTCCTCCAATACCTACAGGATGAAGTTAAACTCAGAGCAAGTAAAAAATGTTCCATAGTGATTGTGCAAGTTACACCCACATTAAAGCTGTGTTCTGGTTAGCCACATGTTGCATGCAGTTCCAAACCTTCATACCTGTGCAAATGCTGTTCCCGTTTGCCTGCCTACCAACATCCTAACTACTCTGCTTCCTCGGACATGATCTCCTGATGAATTACTTTCTCCATCACCCCTTCCACTTAGTGCTATTTGTTCCATCTCTGTGGATACATGTGCACAGACACAAATCACTTCCCTGTCTGCAGAGGACATCTATGCTGCTTTGGATTCCTGGAAGAGCGGCCCTTTTTGTCATCTGGGAAACATGTGTGCTACTCATTTATTTTCAAAGACAGAAGCTGTTTTCCCAGACCCCTCCTCACTAGCCACAGTTCTTGCTCTGGAACTGGCCCTTGGTCCTAGCTTGGCCAGTCAATCCTTGGATCTTAGATTCAGAAAGGCTGGGTTTCCACTCCTCAGCAGATACAATAGTGAGTTTGAAGTCCACTCACTGTAACATACATCAGCAAATTAATGTTGACATGCAGAGAGGAGAGGAGAACATTGTTTTTTGAGGAGGAATAGTAGAGTTTCCAATTTCACTCACCTTTAAGACTACTTTTCCCATGAGGCTTTCACATTGCCCAAGAGCTAGCCCTTCCGTGTCTAATTAGTCCAATGGCGATTCACTCAGTAAGAGGTCTGGCTAACGACAATTTCATCCTCTTAATCATGTGTGCACTTGGTTACTGGAATCATTTGTTATCTGATTTTGTATTTTGTATTAAAATACAAAAGCACTACAGTGCCCCCACTTAAAGAGCCAACCACAGAAAGCTTCAGAGAATTCTATTCCACTCAATGCACAGAACCTCATACCTAAGCACATACCATGTCCAAGGTTTAGCAGCCAATGCTAAGCAGGTGAGCACATTCTTAAAGGGTCAAATCACCAAGAAGGGATTTCAGGGATAGCTCAGATTCCAAAAAAAATGACATCCCCTAAACCAGTGCTGTTGTAACAGCCAAACTGGTCATACAGGGGCAGTAGTTTGGCACAGAAGTTAAAATGACTGCATCTCATATTGGAGTTCCAGTGTTCAATTCCCTTTGTTCCTGGCTGCAGTTTCCCGCTAATGTACATGCTGGGAGGCAGCAGATGATGCTCAAATGACTGAGTCCCTGCCATTCACTGGAGACAGGTTATGTTCCTTTCTCCTGGCTTTGGCCTGGCCCAACCTTGGTCATTGTGGACCTTTGGGCAATAACTCAGCAAATGAGAATTCTCTTCTACCGTATCACCCAAGTTTTTTTTTTTTTTAAAGCAACTGGTAATGGTTTAACTGGTACGACTTAAATCTTAGAGGCATTGCCTTACTGTGTGTGCTGGACCCGTTTCTCTGCTTTTATTCTTCTGGATTATTGGAGAGAGCAGACTAGCAATCATATTTTCCTCACTTCATTGTGTAACACAGTCAACCAAGTTTTTTAAAATATGCAGGTACAGGCACTGCTGAGTCTGAATCCCTGGGGAGAAGCGCCAGGAACTGCACAGTTCAAGTCTCCAGTGTTGGCTCTTTCGATCAAGAGGATCTGAACACCATCAGTCCAAAGAGCTGATCCACATTCTGCCGTACTGAGTTTCCACCTTTACAGAATCTTTTCAGAGCTCCTGGTCTGCTAAGAGTTTCCTGTTCTTTCTCTCTGTAAGTCAGCCTTTCCAATAAAAATAAATAAAAATTTTTTAATGGGGGCCGCATAATGGCTCAGTGGCTAAATCCTCGCCTTGCAAGCACCGGGATCCCATATGGTTGCCAGTTCGTGTCCCAGCTGCTTCACATCCCATCCAGCTCCCTGCTTGTGGCCTGGGAAAGCAGTAGAGGATGGCTCTTGGGACCCTGTAACCTCCATGGAAGACCCAGAGGAAACTCCTGGTTCCTGGCTCCTGGCTTTGCATTAGCTCACTTGCGGAGGGAAACAGCAGATGGAAGATCTTTCTGTCTCTCCTTCACTCTGTATATCTGACTTTCCAATAAGAATAAATAAATAATTTTAAAGGAGAGGGTTTCTGTGTGTCTGTGCAAATGCATGCAGATACTGGTTGGTTCATTCATTTCATTTCTATCACACTTGAGCTCACTCTAGCATCTTGAAATGGCTTCTATTGGATGAACCCTGACAGTGCCATTTTGTAGTATTTATTATTATTTCTGCCTCACAAATAATCAGTGACCTGAATGTCAAGAATCTAAAGAAATCACTTATAGACCTAGAGGTAATACGCATGCAAGTTTAAGGTTTAACAAATACCAAACACCCTGAGTCTTTTTCTACTTATTTTATTTGGTTCTCCTAAAAAACTTATTTTCTCTTGGGTTTACTGAGTAACTCAGAGACATGTTTATATTTCTTAATGTGTATTCACTCTGTGCCAAAAAACCATCTGTCTAGCATAAGCAGGATCGCTCTGTAAACATGTCTGAAAAACAAGCACTGAGTATTTTCAATTCTTCGATGTTAATTCCACTGTACACTGCCTGACTGCTGCTCGGGGGAGCCATCCCAGCCGCATTCACCTGGGACGACCACACAGAGCTGCAGGGGCTCCCTGAAAGGAACACAGCACACCCGAGTGAGACAACAGTCAGACAAGGAAATGCACCTAAGTCGGTGAAGCTTCATCTTTGGGCCACCACAAAAGTCTCTAAGATTTCTTCTGCGAATGATTGGCACTTCCGTTGTGGTTGTTAGAAAAGGTCTTATGGAGCCAGCAGTATGCCATATTGAGTAAAGCCTTCACCTGTGGCACCAGCATCCCATACAGGCACTGGTTTGTGTCCTGTCTGCTGCACTTTCAGTCCAGCTCCCTGCTAATGGTCTAATGCAATAGAAGATGGCCCAAGACCTTAGGAAGCACCTGGTGCCTGGCTTCAGCCTGTCCCAACCCTGGATATTACGGCTATTTGAGGAATAAAGCAGCAGATGAAAGACCCCTTTCATTTTGCCTCTCCCTCTCTCGCTCTCTGTAACTGTCATTTTTCAAACAAATAAACAAATATTTAAAAAGTTGTTACTTAGAATTATAAATGTTTCCCAAATCCAAATGCATAAAAAAATATAACACAAATGGAAGGGTGTCCATCTGTAATTTCTGTAACTCTAACTCATCTCCCACCCAAGAAGCCTGGCAGGAAGTTTATAATGGTAAGATCAAGGTACAGAATTCACAGTTCCAAACAGGGAAAGGCCTTTGATTCAGTTGATTTTCGACGGTCCAAGGGAACAATTCTGAAATATTCCTCACATTCTTTCCTTAAAAAGAAAAACTTCCATTAAGAAATTTATTTCATTTTATTTGAAAGATCTATCATCTGGAAGTTCATTTCCCAAATGTCTACAAACGTCAGAGCGAGGCCATGCCAAAAGCAGGAGCCAGGAACTCAATCCGGTCTCCTAATGGGTGTTAGAGATCCAAATACTTGAGCCATCTACCTGCTGTGTTCTGGGGATGCATTAGCAGGAAGCCACAGTCAGAAGTGGAGATAGGACTTGGACCCAGAGACCCTGATATAGAATGGAGTCTTCCAAGCAGTGTCTTAACTCTTATGCAAAGACCTACCTCTATAGTCATTTCTAGAGAGCGGAATTCTCTGCTGGGCAGATATGCCTTCACTACCACTTCCTTCACCAAAATGGTAGGGTTCGCACAATGAAAGAGGCACTCAATTATGCTGTTACAGTGATCATTTGGTAAGCAACTCCTTAGTCATGGTGATGACACCAGTTGAGATGGAAACCATGTATCTGAAACCTTCTTATGTGCCCATGAAGTTCAACAATAAGGTTGTTTGTTAGACCTCCCACCAAATTGTGCTTGGGGTTCTCAGGAATCTTCTTTAGTAAACTAAAAAGTTAAGAAAAATAGTAAGAATACGTAAATTTCATGAATTAAGATGATTAGTTTTGTCTAACTCCTCCTAACTGAACAAACAGGATGGAAGTTTATGAGCACTTGGAAAAACCCTACTTCCCCAAATTTTCTCCTGACTAGCAACAGAAGTTTTAATGACTGATTCCTCTAGATGGATGCTGTTCATTATCTCAAGACTGCGTGGATCAGATCATCTGGACAACATTATATAACTTCAACAGAATGTCAGTGCTCTCTGATCAGCCTTCTTTTTTTAATGCTATTTTGATTCTGCTGGATTTACCCCGGCTGTTCTAAGCCTGTCTACATCCATCAGTTGAGTTCCACACTCTGCGATTCTTGTCAATTCCAGTGGACAATGGCGACAGAATATTGGCCTCCTACTCAAAATCCATCATGCCACACTTCTTCCCTAATGGAGTTTGAGTTTGGCACAAGCCCGTTTCCTTTCCCCATAACCATGGAAGAACTTTCCATTCCGGTGCTCTGGTCTACGAGACTATTTTTATGACAGTACCATACCGTTTCTGTTACCATAGCTTTGTGGAAGAGTCTGAAATCAGCAAATTGAGTGTTTTGTGCTTCTTTCTCGGGATTTCTTTGGCTCTTTGGCTCTCTCTGTGTGTGTACAGGTGTGATATCCTGTAAACTTTAGGTTTCTTTGTTCACATGATTTTGGCAGGGATTACACTGAATCTGTAGGTAGCTTTGGGAAATGTTGACATTTTAACAGTGCTTATTTTTCTAATCCACAAACATGAGATGCCTTTGTGCTTTTGTGTATCTTTAGTGTCCGTTCATCAACGGTTTGTACTTCTGAGCATGCAAGTTTATTCTTGCTTGAGTTTATCTCTAAACAATTTACTCTTTTTGAAGCTATAATGTATAAGGTCACTTTCTTAATTTCATTTTCAGACAGCTTTGATTTACATACGCTAGCTTTGTGACTTAGAACTTTATCTCGGGCTTTGTGGAGTCTTTAGCATCATCTACTTAAGAGATCATGTCATCACACAATGACGGATCATTTTATGTTTTATTTTCTTTTTTTTTTCTTTTTTTTTCTTTTTAAAGATTTATTTTTATTATTTTTTCATTGGAAAGGTGGATATACAGAGAGGAGAGACAGAGAGGAAGATCTTCCGTCCGATGATTCACTCCCCAGGTGAGCGCAACGGCCGATGCTATGCCAATCCGAAGCCAGGAGCCTCTTCCGGGTCTCCCACACGGGTGCAGGGTCCCAAAGCTTTGGGCCGTCCTCGACTGCTTTCCCAGGCCACAGGCAGGGAGCTGGAAGGGAAGCAGGGCTGCCGGGATTAGAACCGGCGCCCATATGGGATCCCGGGCGTGCAAGGCGAGGACCTTAACCACTGCGCCACCGCTCCGGGCCCTATGTTTTATTTTCTGATTTACATGCTTTTAATTTCTTTGAGTGGCATCGTGCAAGCAGGTTTTCATGCCTTTTCTCTCATAGGAAAAGCTTTCAGGTTTTCCCCATTCAATATGATATTAACTGTGGGATTTTTTAAATATATATATCATTTGTGGTGTCGAGGTTAAAAAATGCTTTTAAAAGTTTTGTTTTTTAAGGAAAGAAAGCTGGTCAGAAACTTGAATCTACATAAAGGAAGGAAATGGCATCAGAGAAAAATAGGAATGTTAAAAGATCTTAATTTTTCTTGCTTTTAATTGATTCAATAGATACTGTTTTATTCAAAATAACAATGCTGGTCCTGGTGTGATAAACTAGTAGTTCAAGTCCTCGCCTTGAACACACCGGGATCCCATATGGACGCCGGTTCTAATCCCGGCTGCCCCGCTTCCCATCCAGCTCCCTGCCTGTGGCCTGGGAAAGCAGTCAAGGACGATCCAAAGCCTTAGGACCCTGCACCTATTTGGGAGATCCAAAAGAGGCTCCTGGCTCCTTGCTTCAGATCAACTCAGGTCTGGCTGTTGTGGCCGCCTGGGGAGTGGACCGGCAGATGTAAGATCTTCCTCTCTGTCTATCCTCCTCTGTGTATCTGCCTTTCCAATAAAGATAAATAAATCTTCAAAATAATAATAACAATACCAACAATGTATTATTGTTTATACATATATCATGTATATGTGACTATTTACATAAGTTAAATGAGGACCAGCAATATAGCAATAATGCAAGAGATGACAGTATCACATGGCTGCTGGGTTTTTTTTTTTAGAATGGACTTGGATTAATTCCATTGTATATTACAAACTCTAGGACAACCACTAAAAAAATAAACAAGCTTAACTGATAGGCTAAAAAAATGAATTATACAAAGTATTAAAACTTCAACAAGCAGAAGATGAATAGAAAGCAAAATTAGGAACAAAAAAAAAAGGGCAAGAAATACAAAAGAGTCAAAAATATGTTGAATATTAATCCAACTATACCAGTAATCCCTTTGGATATCGATGGTCTAAATGCACCAACTAAAAGAGACAAATCGCCGAGTGGCTAAGAAAGAAGACCCCCCCATGCACAGTCTGCCAAAAGCTCACTTCAAACGTAAAAACACACACTGCTCCAAAGTGACGAGCAATCCCTGGGAGTCCTCCAAATGAGTTGAACACTTACACCCCACAAAAGCCCGCTTATAAATATTTATAATAGCTTTATTCCTAAGTGAGAAATTGGATATAACCAAGTTGTCTCAGCACATCACAGATGGATAAACTCAGACACTCTCAGACAACAGAATATTATTTGGCACTAAAAAATGAACGATCAAGCCTTGCAAAGGCATGGAGGAACTCTGCATATTACTGTGTGGAAATGAGTCAATCTGACTTTTCCAACAATAAGACAGTCTGGGAACGGCAAAACTATGAACACAGGGGAAGATCATCAGTTGCCAGGTGTTGTGGGGGAAAAGGAATGACAAGGCTGAGCAGAGAGAATTGCTGGAGCCATAAAAGCACTCCATATGAAACTACAATCACACATACATTTGTCCAGACTCATAGCCTCGTAGCAACACCAACTGTGTGGAAACTATGGACTTCAGGTGATCTTGTTGTGTTGATGAGGGTTCATCGTCTGTAACAAAGCTATTGCTCTGGTAGGAGATGTTGATCATGCAGAAGGACCTGTATGTGTAGGCAAGGAATTCAATGAGGAAACTCGGCATCTTCCTTTCAATTTATTGTGACCTTAGAGTTAATCTTTAGGGGCCAGTGTTGTGGTGCAGCTGGGTTAAGCAACCATTTCAGATCACTGGTTCAAGTTCAGCTACTCTTTCCAATCCAGCTCCTTGAAAACACCTGGACATTAGTAGAAGATGACCCAAGCGCTTAGACCCCTGCCACTCAATTAGGAAACTCAGATGGAGTTCCTGTTTTCTGGCTTCAGCCTGAACAAACCCCAGCCCACTGATGCCATCTGGAGAGTGAACCAGCAAATGGAACACCATTCTGTCTCTGCAACTGACTCCACCTCTCCACCCCAGCCGTGACCTTCTCTATCATTCTGCCTCCCAAACAGAGAAATAAGCAAAGAAATCTGTTAAAATAATTACAAATTGAAACTTTTTTAAATCAAAAAAACAGAACAAAGGAACAGGAATTCAAAAAAGCATTTTATAAAGTAGATAGAGCTATCATTTCAAACAGAGCAGGAACTACTGGGGTGATTTCATTTGATAGATGGGATGTCTTAGTCTACGCAGATTGCTTCTGTAAAATAGCGGAGACAAGGTGGCTTATAGATGACGAATATTTATTTCTCACATGTCTAGAAACAGAGACATTCAAAAGTCAAAATGCAAGCAAATTTTGTATCCGGTGAGAGCCCATGTCTTCTTAAGCATTTATCTATTCCTTTTGCCTGGCAAAAGAGCCAAGGAATCTTTTTGATGTCTTCTTTATAGAGAAAAAATATTTTTAATCTTTTAAAATATTGTTTGTTTACTTTGGAAGACAGGGAGAGAGAGAATATCTCCCATCTAGTGGGTTACTTTCCAAATGTCTCCAATAACCAAGGCCAGGCTGAAACCAAGAGCCCAGAACACAAGTGGATCTCCCATAATGGTAGCAGAGAGCCAACTGTGTTAGCCGTCACCTGCTGACTCCAGGTAGCACAGAGCAGGAAGCTGGAATCAGGGGCATAGCTGGGACTCTTAACTCGGCCATTCTGATATGGGACGGGGTCTCATGTGACGTGTCTCTTATAAAGGCACTTATCCCCTATTTCAGACCATACTCTCAACACCTAATCACTCCTCAAAGGTCCTAATATCATCATGCTTGGGGTAGTATTTTCACATATGAAGTGTGGGCAGACATAAACATCCAGACTACTTAGAGTTCAGTTCTCCAACAGGACATAAAACCTGCAAGGTGTGTGGCCTAACAACGGAGCATCAGACTATGTGAAGATAGGACTGCAAGGAAAAGGAGATAAATCCACTACTGCAAGTGATAACTTCAACACCTTCCTTCAGAAATGGACAGATCCATCAGAAAATCAATAAGGACTTAGCTGGCTTGAACAGCACCATTACTCAGCTGGACATAAATGACATTAATAGACTATTTCATCCACCAACAGAATCTGTGGTCTTCATAAGCGCGCATGGAACATTCATCAAAACTGATTACATTCTGGGCCATAAAACACACCTTAGCAAAACCAAAATTAAAAAAAAAAAATCATACAATGTCTTCTCTCAGGAGACCAGGAAATTAAACTAGAAATCAATGACAAAAGACAAATGCAAAATACATAACAATTTAATAATATACTTTCAAATAATTATAGATCAAAGAAAAGTGTCCAGAAAAAACTTGTAAATATGTAAGCTATGTATTAATAAAAACAAAGCATCGAAATGTGTTAGCTTCACCAAAAGCAGTGTTGGAGGGAAATTTACACAGCTGAATGTATATACCAGCAAAGAGGAGAGACCCAAAGTCAATCACCTAATTTTCCACCTTAGGAAATTATTTTAAAAAAAGAAAAAAATCTAAAGAAGAAGAAGAAACCAAAATTAGAACACAATTAATCAAATTGAAGTAGGTAAGTAGAGAAAACCAATACAACCAAGCCTGGCTTTCATAAAAATCAATGAAAAGAAACTTCTAGCCAGGCTAATTAAAAAAAAATAATAATAAAGAAAACATACACAGATTACTACCAGCAGAAATGAAAAAGGGACATTACTAAACACCTACAGACATTAATATTACCATAAAAGAATACTATGAACAATCTATGCTAAAAATTCATCTAGATAAAATGGGCTAATTCCTTGAAAGACAATATACCAAAGCTATGCAAGAAGAAATAGACAGCTGGGACTAGCACGGTGACCTTACAAGCTAATCCTCCACTTGCAAGCTCCAACATCCTTTAGGGATGCCGCTTCATGTGCCAGGAGCTCCACTCATGATCCAGTTCCTTGCTCATGGCCTAGGAAAACAGAGTAAGATGGCTCAAGTCCTTGGGACCCTGTACCTATGTTAGAAGCTCTTGGCTCCTAGCTTTAGATCAGCTCAGCTCTGGCTGTTGCCAGAGCTATGTACCTATGTTAGAAGCTCTTGGCTCCTAGCTTTAGATCAGCTCAGCTCTGGCTGTTGCAGCCATTTGGGGAGTGAACCAGCAGATAGACAGCCTTTTCTGTCTCTCCTTTTCTCTGTAAAATTTTGCCTTTCAAACAAGAATAAACTTTAAAAAAAAAAAAAGGAAATATTCTGAATAAGACTGTAGCTAATAAAAAAAAAAAGTCTGAATCAACAATTAACAACTTTCAAAACAGAAACCACCAGGTCCAGCTTGGTTGACTGTGAACTTTGTGAATTTGACTATCTTTCTCTCTGTCTCTCCTCTGTAAATCTTTCTAATAAAAATAAATAAATCTTTTTTTAATTGAGAAAACATCCAAATAAACAGAAAAAAAAACAAAGTTTCCAAAGCAAAACTAATGTTAAAAGACAAAATTTTGTTAAGAACAAAATCAAAGAAATAAAACTTTTTAACAGAAAAATATTAAATGAAAGCATAAGATGATAAAAGTATCTGCTTAGTCAACAAAAATGGAATTCTACTCACTTGGAAAGAACTAACAAAAATGTTCTCTAATCTGTTCACATGAAAAGGTCCACAGAAACAAACCTGAGTTAAGAGCAAATACAGCTACCCAGGAGTGGGGCCAGAAATCAGCCATTACCATGAGTCATTTCATACAGCAATTATTCATGTTAGGTGGATAATTACAGACGATATAAACCCCCAACACAGTCTCAGGTGGAAAAGACCTTAATAAACCAACAGTATTAAAAGAAACTACCTAAAGGTTGTAGCCCTGGAGCAGGCACTGTGGCACCGCAGGGTAAGCCACAATCTGGGCCTCAGGATCCTGTATCAAAGTGTTTGGGACCGAGTTCCACCTAAGCATCTGATTCAGCTTCCTAGTCAAGCCTCTGGAAGACGACAGATGACGACCCAAGTACTTGGTCCCCTGCCACCCATGTGCAGTTCTTGGATCCTGGCTTCAGCTTGGCTCAGCCTTGGTTGTTGCAAACATCTGGCCAGTAAAAATCAGGATGAAAGACATTCTTTCTCTCCCCTCTCTCTCTTCCCCCGCCAACATCACTCTGCCTTTCAAGTGAACAAACTATTCTAGAAAAAGATGCACCTTCAAAAGAACCGCCACATCCAGACAGTTCTATGCATGAGTTGAAATAATCATTAGAAAATTCTTACACTGTCAACTGCTCAAGAGCAGAGAAAAATAGGGAAACTTATTATTCTATGTTACAAAAAAATTTTGATTAGAAAATAAAAAAGTTGCAATGTGCCAATACTTTGCAATTTTTTATCTGCAACAATAAAAAAGTCATACAGCTCATAACCTAACAGTTAATGAATTTAACTGTGCCAGAGCATTTAATTTTCTCTGAAGGTTAAATGTGTGCCAAACACACTCCATCAAAGATTTTTGCTGACGCAGCTCTGAATATGCTTCTAAAAATCAATAGATGAACCGCTGTGTTTGTAAACTCTGGGCTGTCTTGTTTACCTTTGCGCCTGCAGTGGAGCCTAACCCGAGGCTGGGTGCTCTCTGCTGCTCTTCAGTGCTGTCCCTGGTCCACTGTCCACAGGAGTTCAGTGTCTCTCTCACTGAGTTCCAGCCCTTGCCTCCAAATGCAAGGATCTGCCTCTTATTTCTGTTCCTCTCTCTAGAGGAGGCAAACGCAGAACCCCTCTGTCTACCCACCCTGGAGAGAACGGAAGCTGGTTTTTTTCAGAGTTCATTTTTATGTCAAAAAGTCGGCTTGAAATCTTACCCCATCTCCTTTCCTAGGATCTGAGCCCACTGTGGTCCGTTTCCACCAAACAGCTGGCCTCAAAATTTGCAACTGCAGAGGAATGAAGACTGCACAAGTCAAAGCAGTAGCCTGGCCCAGCGAGGGGGCTCCCTGAGGTTGGGTGGGTGAGCAGAAACATGCAAGGCTTTAACAACTGGTGGCCACAACTGCAGCAGCCACACTGCAGGCCTCAGGCAGGTGACGACAGGGAAGGGCGTTACTGAGGAGAGCAGCACAGGAGGCTGAAGCCACAGCGGGCAGGAAAACCACATCCTTCCCAGCCTGTCCTCTGTCGGGCACCACCGGTGTCAAGCAACAGCACCGGGATGAATGGGAAATGACTGTTGATGCTGGTGTGTTGTAACCAGACAACAGGAACAGGATAAAAAGAGCTGTTCCTCCATCAGGGCCAGAAACAGAAGTCCATGTGCTATAACTCTAGGTGTGAAAAGTCATGAAGCTTAATGTACTTAAATGTAAGCAGCAATGTGAGTAAACAGGAAGTGTCTGAAGATCAGAACAGGCAATTCCTTATTACAAAAGATATTCCCTAAAATTAAAAAGAGAAAGGGCTAAGATTTTCTGGGTGGGAAGTCCTAAAAACTTATGCAAAGAGGGAGTGATGATATTAACGTACTATTCTTATTTAAGGAACATTCTAAAGTTTCACCATCAATGCTTTACTTACCGTGATTGGGGCAGTTCCTGTTCAGAGGCTAAGAAATCTTTTCTCTTTTCCAGTTTAGAATTTTTTAAGCCCCAAGTAACTATTGCACTTTATTAAGTGTCTCCTGCATTTATGAGGTGATCACATCATTTTTTTAAATTCACTGATATCTTGCCGTGGTGAATTTTATTCATACAACTTTAGATTCCAGAGATAAATCATATCTAAAGATACCATATATTTTCATATAATAAAAAAACAATAAAATAAAAACA